AATTGTAAAATCTTTCATTCTGTGAAAATATTTCAGTTGCAACGTAGCCATTATTCCGCCATTTCTCAATAATAACTATCTTCACTGAGTCTCGAGACTTTAAACTACAGAACAAAAAAGTGTCACTTTAAAAAAGGAAATCACTGTCAACCTGCTGAAGACAAAAACTGAGGTTGTGAGAACAACAGCAGGTAAACAGTTCCCCTGTGAGAGTATCAGGAGCAGACTAAGCTGTTGTCCCACTCTGCAAAGTGTTATTCGTGTCAATCCCTCCAACCGGGAAAGTAAACAGCAGTAGTAGAAATGCAGACGTCCAGCTCGCTTCCTGCTGAGGACAGGAAGGGGGAGGCTGACTCAGACTTCCCACGGTGGGTAAGCTGCTCCCTTCCATTTATCTGCTTGGTGCTGAAACCATGTTTATGCTAAAGCTAATGCAGATAACAAGAATACGGTCTTAATGTTTTTTCTGTCCTATCAAAATCAAGGGAACGGTTCCTGAGGTGGAAATGATTCTCTCCTTTCCATACTACTACCGTTTAGTCATCTTAACACACCACATATGTATATACTGTACAAAGATATAAGCGAATCAATTGCTGTATGTGTGCCTCTGCAGTGAACACTGTTGAACTTCAGCTTTTATAAAACTGTGTGTAACAATCTGTATATCCTGCTTTGCAGATGTGGATTTAGTCCCATCAGGGTTATTATTTTCAATCCATTTACACAACTCATAATGTCCTCTCATCACAGATTAATATCTCACAACATTGTTGTAGCAGAATCGCATGTACGGTATAACCAAAATATGCTGATAGCAACATATTCTGCCATATCTAGCATCTAAAAAATTATATATTGTATACACGCAGCATATCAAAAAAACATAGGCTATCTATTTTACAATGCCTGTCTAATGTAGTAAATATGCTCTACAACAGACTGAGTTTATCCCAATTTATTTTCCCACATGAAAGACTAGGAAAAGCACTTTACAACGGGTAAAAAAGCTCAATTGTAAAAGCTTTATTATGTTAATATCTTATCTTTAACAAGTCTTTATATGTGCCTGTCTTTCTAAAAAGGTTCAGTTAACAGTTCGTATAAAAATATGTCAAAGCTTGAATACACTAAATAGCGGGGGTCATCTTAACAAGTTACTCCACTGGGAAATGCATTAAATGTGAAAAATGTTTTCCCCTTTTATGTGTTTAATATGACATTTTAAACGTTAAAACGGATGATATTTTTGGACAATTTGGGGTTGTATCAGTTTAAGGGTATTTGGTTAGTGTTTTTTTTGGCTTGCAATGTTTCCCTATAGTACATACACACTCTCCAGCTGTAGATGTGTTAGTAATATGTAATGTAAATACTTATTTTAGTTATGGGCCCCTATTCTAAAGGATAATGTATTGGGGTGTTCTATTTCACATAATGTCCATTATTCACTTTTTAACTGTCACTGAATAAAATGAATTTAATATATGAGAAAAAAACATTTATACAAATATTTGAGGGCGTTAGAGAGAGACAGACGAGGAGGAGAGCCGGGGAGCCCGGGCAGACACACAGGCTCCTGCAGCCAGAAAGCTGCCCCCCCCCTGCACACCAACTCCCCCGCACCCCCACCCAGGAGGTTGCCCATTGTTCCCACATCTCCTAAACAAAGCATGCCCCCCCACCGCAACCAGGACCCCTTTCCCCACCTACCCCCATTGCACCCCGCCCCACCCTCCTCCTCCTTCTCCTAACTGACCCCCTCACTCACCCCCCCACACACTATCAGCATTGAGGCTCTAATAAGAAAAGAGAGACGAGATGCATCCCTATTGATATTGCTACATGCCTGACCCGAAGCATACAATTACATTATAAGGATACAATGCAAAAGAATTATAGAAAACAGTAAGAATGCATTGAAAAAAGAGTGTAGGGACCCTGTAAATTTAATAAGCTTTAAAACTAAATTTTATTTAAAAAGAAATATATCAAATTGTCAAATTGACACCTTCGTAACAGCAAAAACACGGTCTTCACGGTCAGGAGCATCACGTAAATTCCCTGAATCACCTGTTGATTCATCCAACTGTCAAACTGACAATTCACACTTTGAACTGCCAAAGAAAAGAACAAAAATCTCATAAAAAATAAATGTGACAACATCTGAGCATCACAAGACAGCATTTCATGCCAAGAAGAGTACTCCTCTTAATCTGGGTTCCATACAAATCTGTGTGTCGGATTTCGTCTAGAAATATGACGACAGATAAAACAATGCGGCAGACGGCTCCACCATATTGTGCCAGCATTGGTGAAGTGTGTGAACACACACTCAGACATGTGCACGTACACAGCGGTGGAGGCTAAAGCACACAGAGGCCATATGGTGCGTCCTCATCCACCGACGCCTGTTGCTGCTGCAACAATAGGCCTGCCTGGCCTGGACAGCAAGAGGCAAACACACACACAAATGTGCACACATACACACACCAAATGGTCGTTAGTCAGCCGGTCTGCGTCGCTTAGGCCCAGAACAAACGCCTGGATTTGCATTCTGTGCCTCCATTCGCCTCCTCCTCCTTTCTCTCTCTCGCACACACACACACTTCGCCGGTCTCTACAGGTGCACGGAGCACTCAAAACAGATGTCAACGGACTGGAAAGGGAGGGGGGGGAGTGGAGGGACGACGGGGGGGCTATTTGCCCAGGGTGACTGATAAAGCTTTGTACACTTGCAGGCCTAGACACAGCAAAGACAATGACACACACACGCATACAGACACACACACAAATGCATCCCCTTCCTCTGTTACACTTTCCGGACTTCCTGATGTATAATTTAGAAACACTTCATAAGACTAAAAAGGAAGACAAAACGTGTAATGTGCCCAAAAGTCAAGATTTTAAGGAGGTTTTTAAAATCCCAAATGGATTTTTCTCATTTTTCAAGAGAAATGACATCATATTATTGGTGGTATAAATCATCTCTACATTCATTTCATATTTTATCTGCACAGGTGAAGCAAAAGTTACTCTACACACTATATAAACATGCATGTCTTTATGAGCATGTTTTTTTCTATGGGGATTAATAAAGATGTATCTTATCTTAAATGTAATAAAAACCCTAAATATGTTAGGTCTAAAAACAATAAGATTTGTTTTTGGGGGGGATATTTGTAAGTCTGTTAAAGGTCATTTTTGTCTCAAATGCAGTTTTTCTTGTACAATGGAATCATGTTTGAATAATATTTAAGGACGTTGCTTTGAATAATAAGGCTATAATAATCAAAAAAATTCAAACAATGTGTCATTAGGAAAGTAATCTGAATATATCATTGACGACAAACTTACATTCATTTGAATTGAATCATTGAACTTGATTAATAAAACAAATCATTTATCCCCATTTTACAATCTTACTCATCCATACGTTCTCTATTAAAAGGAGACAAACCGACTCTTAATTGAAATCCTTTCATCCAGCGCACCCCCCCCTCGTCTGACAGATTGATTACTGTTACAGAAGTAAAGCAGCGAGTGTCTCATCCTACAGGCTGTCATGTTCTCTGATAACTACATCGTGGTGTATCGCCTGCATCACCACACATCTCTGGCAAGAGCAGTGCTCTAATCAATATGTAAAAGGAAATACACAACATAAGTCCATATGGGGTTATTATAAGATACCATATGGGGTTTAAAAGCTGTAACATTTACCAGACACTTAAAACATGTTACCTGGAATATAGAAATAAGCTAAATAAGAAATATGAATCATGTTAGAGGCTACTGTTGAGCGATTTAAAAAGCTCTCTTTCAAAATTCACCAAACACATAAAACCTATGCGATGTAACCTGGAATCGATAGAATATATATATATTTAAATAATAGGCTACTGTGGGGGATTTAAACATCTTTGCGGTCTCTTAAAAATGTCATCAGACACCTTAATAATAGAAGATGTTATCTGGGTTGGGAATTAAAAAGGAAACAAAACATATCAATCATTCTATAGGCTACTACTGGGGATTGTAAGAACTTTAGCTGCTAAATCACCTGCAGCAACTGACATCTAAAACATGTAAGAAGTACCCTGTAATCAATAGAAATAAAATACATATTTTCAAAATCTATAGGCTACTGCTGGGGCATTTGAAGAACTTTAAGGTATTTTTAAAAAAAATTAAAAGGATGCCACCGCAGACAGACACCGAAAACACATGACATGTAATCAGGTGTAGAATGAAAGTAAATACAAAATCTGAATGATATTTCAGGACGACCCAAATAGCTGAGTCTACAAACTGCAGGCTACATGTTATGAACACGCATTAAAGATGAAAAAGGTGGAAAAAACTCAAATGAGTTTTATAAAATGACTTCTGTACCCTTCATATTTTGTCTTTAAGATGAAGAGGTCAGTCAGGGAGTAATTTGTGAGCAGATCCAGCAGCATCCTGTCTGATCTGCTCTCATTGAGCATAATGTGCTCTGTCCTTTTGGTAAACACTGGCTGTGTGCAGTTCTCAGCCTGTGGCCTGTTCCTGTGACTGGGGCCTGGGCTGGAGGGGAGGAAAACCCCGCCGATGCAACAAGTCTCCCGTTCACTCAGCTTTGTTAAGCTTCCTCCCTGCGCTGCAGCGAACATGTTTTCATCTTTTTCCTGTTATGTGCCGGTCCAACCAGTAACCTAACTGATGGAGAAATACCCCCCGGCATGCATTTAGGAGAAGAATAAGGTTTTTGGTGTCGGGAAAATAGGATAAACTGGAGTGAAAGCGACAATCCTCGCTCTGAAGCTCACACGGTAACGCATTAATAAGCATGTTAGACTTGTTTAACATCTATTGGAAGGTAAAGCGTGTGGATTTCGCTTAAATTATTTGAATTTCAGCTTCAGTGATCACTTCAGGGTTTCAGAAACAAGCGAAACGTCCGAGGGCTCTCAGACCGACGCGCAGTCTGACGGGGGGACTCCTCCCTGGGAACTTACCTCGATTCATACGCCGCTTTATGGATTAATTCCCTCACTTTTCCACGGATTGGAGTCGCAAGAGCATCGGGAAGCACTCCGCCAACTCCAGAGTGTCCTCACGGTTTTGGTTTGATGGATAATCGGACGCGCTGAGTGCGTAAAATGCGCAGCGTCTCTCCAAGGATGCGAAATATGCGCGGAATGGGAGCAGGAATGAAATGAACGCAGTGGACTGAGTTGAACGGGGCGGGGTGAGAGGGGCTGGCGTCACCCTCCCTGGATGAATGAAATAGAGTGAGTGAGAGATGGGAGGATGGGTGGAGAGAAAAAAAGAAAAAGAAAGATAGCGGGGGGGAAGGGGCCGGACTGTATGAGTGCGTTCAACAACAAAAGAAAAGAGTGGAGCGCCCAAACTCTATTCACAGGAGGAGGAGAATGGGTCGAGATAAAAAACCACGGTCTGCTGTGCATGGCCGAGCAGGTGACAGCGAATCAAACAGGCTGTACTGAAACATAGTCACCACATCTCTGTGTGAGTTACATTACAAACTTTTTTTGTAACATAGACTACAATTCAAGACCAAGTAAGAATTACGCAAAACAAAACAAAAATAGTTATTTTTCATGTAAAACATTATTTTAAACAAATAAGCAAGACTGTGTTTTTGTTCTCAAGATTAAAGGTTTAATTAATAAGAAATAAAATGGACACGTGATCAATTCCATTAGCCTAACTTGGTATGAACAGCAGCTAGTGGTAATTTAATTTATGTTTTCAATGCGACGTAAAGTACACAATTATTTGTATCAATGAAAACACTATCTAACCACGTAAGCAAGACTCTTTTTAAAAAACATTTTCGTAAGATTTAAGGTTGTATTAATAAGCAAAACAACTGACACTTGTTCTCATTAGGCTTACTTGGAGCTAATGGTAGTTTAATAGCGACAAAGTTAGTCCTAAACATGTCCCATAATAACTACAAGAAAGTGTTTTATTATTAAGTAGAACATCATTATAAACACATATGCAAGACCATATGACTATTTACAGAAGAAAAACACATGTTCTCCTTAAGATTAAAGGGTTACTTCATTACACAGCAGCTAATGGCTGATGAGCTAAGCGACTGATGTTAGCTAACTTGAGATAGATATTGTTGCGTAACTGACAATTTGATAAGGTTTCTCGATTTAGTGACTATTTCCATCTGCCACAACAGCTTGGTCAAAGCAGCTGCTGTTCAGTCAAATTAAATGGTCTTAGTTTAAACACAACATTTTGCTCAATTGAGATGTTACTCGTTTGCATTTGTATATTTCTAAAAGAAAAGCCCCCTTTAAACCACAATTGAAAATAGTAAGAGTAAAGTTATTGAAAGGAAATAACGCATTTAGGATTACAATTTACCGGGAGCATCTCAAAAACACATTTAAGCTACGTTAGCATATCAATAGCTAATTGTGGTTTTTAGTTAGCTAATTGTTTTGGTAGCAGTAGGAATACACGCAACAATAATATAATCCTCCTTGCTTACTCATTGCGTTAATATTATACCTCTAGCTAAACCCTAACTGTCCTAACTTTAAATGAACAAGCAGTGGAATTAAACTTATTCTCTGAGGCCCCCTGGACCGCCTTGAAGGACCCCAGGGGCTTATGAGGACCCCACTTTTAAAAGCCACTGCCCTAACCAGAACATCTTTGTCTCCCTCTCAGATCTCTGAATGCAGCAGGCAGCCGCCTCCGCCTCATAAAGGAGTTGTTGTTTACTACTAAGCTCTGCCTTTCTCAGGTTACACCCCCCAGGCACTGCCTGACTGTCATCTCCCTAGAGAGGGAGGGGCTGTGACATAAAACAAACACAGATATGCCAGTGTCACAGCCTGGATACTGCAACCAGACACTACAGCCAGGCGAGCTAACAGACTAGCATTCCACATGGCAGCGTGTCATGTGTTTGTGAGTCCCATTCTCACTGATGCATACAAACACACCCTCACACAGCCGACTCACATGTGGACTGACAGTGTGTTTCATCTTTGTGGAGGCATGTGTGTTTCATTCTCAGACTCAGTGCAAACACAGAGCAGGCTAGTAAAAGATTTAGCAGTGACCTTAAGGTCACAGTCTGACTTTAATCTGACCTCACCTGGTTTACTGATGTTTTATTAATGTTGTCCATGTCTGGGATTCTATATCTCCTCTATGGAGGGCCAAGCAATTAAATAGATGGGAGAAAAATACATTTATTATTTAGAAATGTATGAAGTCAACATTAGCTACCTGAGATTTATGCACCCTTGGTTTGTGGGTCATAAAAAACATCAAAATCACTACTTGTCGGAGTACTGCAGCCATATAACTCAAATAGATTTCACTGCGTATCCTGAGAAACTCTTTTGCGGCTTTCACACCAGCGCTTTCCCCTTTCTAGCTCCGAGCGGGAGCTTTTCTGGTTCAGCTACGGTTTCCCTTTTCTGCTCCCGCTCTGTTCACACCGCCCAGAGCTGCCGCTGCTGCGTCATGACGTCACCGTTTACGTGCCTGCTTCATAAAATCCAAACCGCGCGGAAATCCCTCACATCGACAACAACAACAATGGCCGATTGCATTGAAGCGCTGTTCGCTTTGGTTATCCTCTTACGAAACGAAATGGAAGGCATCGGACGACTTTACTTGGAACTTTACAAACATCACATGCAAAATCAAAATGCAAGACTTCTTTGTGGTCTTCAGCATCTACTTCAACGACGAATCTGCCCCTGCCCCCGCCTCGACGTAAGAGAGACGTAAGCGACGCCGCCTCTTAGCTCCGAAGCTCTTGCCTAGACCGACAATTGTTTGGAGCTGAAAGTGAACCGGATTCCGGAGCTATAAGAGGCGGCGCCTCTGCGGTGTGAACAGGAAAAAACGGTACTTTTCAGGCTCTAGCTCCGAGCCGGAGCTGAAAACGCGTTGGTGTGAAAGGGGCAGAAGAGGTGCTAATAATACTTTTTTAGAGGGACACATTTGTCGAGTAAGCTGTACTTGGGGCAATGCTTTAGAACCTTCTAATCTGTGCATTGATCTTAATCTGTGTATACTATATTATTTTGGTCTCCTTGCTGCTTGAAATGAAAGACAGGAAAGTTAAGATGGGGTGTATCAGAGATGAAAAATGTCAACAAGAGCCCTCTTGTGGTCTGTGGGTAGGATTCTGAACAATAAGGGTGTGGAGACTGGACCCGATTCATAATCATTGAGTTCATGACACATAGGCAGAGGTTGAAATAAAGAGCGTACTCAATCCCAATAAATAACACTGTTCACAGAACCCTTGAGCATGACACCACACTTTGCGACTTCATTCAATGCGTGGTGAATTCACAAAAGGATTGTAAAGCTTTTGCAACCGGTTAAACCTACAGAAAAAAGAAAGAAACGGATTGATTCTCAAATCTCTCTAAATCAGTGGTTCTCAAACTTTTTCTGTCAGGCCCCCCCTTTGGAGAAAAAAAAAAGTCGGGCCCCCCCAACACAAATAGTCAGGCTCAGTGGCGGCGCCAGAGATTTCTTTTGGGGGTGCTGTGGGGTAGCTTGACGTTTCATAGAGGGTGCTCAAACATTTAGGGTTTCCCATTAATGTACCGGTCGCCACAGTGGAATTTTCTACTGCAACACTCCCCACACGCATACACAGTGTTCCCGCAACTGTTACAGTGAAGGCACGATAATCAGCTCACGGCATATAGGTGTAAGCAGGGGTCAAGTGCTATTTTTATAGGTGGTGTGTGGACCTAACATAGGGGGGTCCGGGGGCAAGCTCCCCCGGGAAGATATTTTTTTCAATCTTGAAGTTAAATGCATCAATCTGGTGCACTTTGAGAGCAAAATGAAGAGATCTAGATACCTCTCTCAACACCCATATGAAACAGAACTGGAAACAGATTTTCTATTTCTTTATAGATATTTTACAAATCACTCCCCTTTTAAACTTTATTCTTGTTTTACTGTCATATAGTATTTCATAGCTGTTTTTCATTTATTCTCTTATTTTTTTTAAACTATAATAATCATATAAATGTGTACCTCGGAAATAATTGTTTACATTAATGGTGACCAAAACGTTTGAGACCCACTGAGATAACACTCAGAGTCCTTTAGTTCACTGAGTCTCTCAGTCTGACAGGAGAGGACTCTCCTCCACTTTGTTGTTGAAAAAACTCCTTATATCCGTTAGCGTAGCTCGCTAGCACCAGAAGCTAACAACAACGATCTCCGGTACCGGTGCGCTCTCTCTCTCGCTCGCGCCCACAAAATGGCTCGTTCCACACACACACAGAGCCGAGCTTTAATGAAACACAGACGTAATAATACTGTACTGCATCATATTATTTTCGAATCAATAATTTTTCAAATTATGAATTTTAAAAAAAAAACATTTAATAACCATTTTTACTCCTGGTCTCTCGTCCCCCACTTTGAGAACCACTGCTCTAAATGGTTAAAATACAAGCATGAATACAATGCAAAGCCTATTTACAAATACTTAAATTAGGTTAAATTCATAAACTGCGCAAAATTGGGCCATCTCTTCAAATTAGCCAGTCCAATTCACAAAAGTGCTAAAAACCAAAGTGCAGAAATATTACATTTATTAGCGTCTTCAGAGACTGCTGATGAAGCACATTAATCCTTTTGACAGATTGAGATAATACATTTTAATTTCAGTTTTGCTCTGTCACAATTAAATTACTTTTCTGAGGTTTTGAGGAACGCATCTGCAGCTTGTTAGCAAAGACCTGACGCTCACCGTCCAAACATTTCTATTTTAATTTTCTCGCTGCCATAGACTAACAAATGCATTAAAAAACAAGTCAAATGAACTACAATACGTGTTTTTAAGTCTGATGACACACCAAACACTAACTGTATGAGAACGAGGATATTGCCTAGAAAGTCTGCGTTAACCATTGTTTTAGTACCCGACCCGTTATCTCTGATTATGGTTTAAGGCTTTAACAAGCCAGGTATGTCGAAAGAAAACCTGGCTTTGTCAAAAATCACTTACTTCGGTGCTTCACTCGCTTACGAGTGCTTACTCGACTAACTTTTTTCCCCATCCTCCCGGAACCGTCCCGAAATACAATCTAAGCCGTCCCGAAATTAATGTGGACCGTCCCGAATTTAAAATGTTAGTTTTTCTACATTATCATTAGTTAAAATCATTCAAAGTGACCTTTAACATAAATAAAACATCATACAAATCATTAGATGATAATTCATCAACCTTTTTAT